CCTGAGTTTTCTAAGGTTCTTATGGTTTGAGGTTTTACATTTAGGTCTCTGATCCATTTGGAGTTAACCTTTGTGCATGGGGATAGATAAGGGTCCTGTTTCAATCTTCTGCATGTGGTCAACCAGTTTTCCCAGCACCATTTACTGAATAGGTTCTCTTCTCCCCACTGGTAGGTGGTGGGGGCTTTGTCGAAGATGAGTTGGTTGAGGAATTGAGGTTTTGCTTCTGGAATCTCAATTCTGCTCCATTGATCTATATACCTGTTCCTGTACCAATACCAAGCTGTTTTGATGATTGTAGCTTTATAGTAAAGTTTGAAGTCTGGTATTGTGATACCACCTGCTTTGTTTTTTTTACTGAGGATTGTTCTGGCTATTCTTGGACGTTTGTGTTTCCATATGAATTCCTGTGTTGTTTTTTCTAGGTCTGAGAAGAATGTTGTTGGTAATTTAATGGGTATTGCATTGAATTTGTAGATTGCCTTAGGTAAGATGGACATCTTCACAATGTTGATTCTTCCGATCCATGAGCATGGAATATTTTTCCACTTGTTCGTGTCAGCTTTGATTTCTTTGAGCAGTGTTTTGTAATTTTCATTATAAAGGTCTTTCACGTCTCTGGTTAGGAAGATGCCAAGGTATTTCATTTTTTTTTTGTGGCTATTGTGAATGGAATTGTGTTTTTTATTTGGGTTTCTGTTTGTTTATTATTGGTGTAGAGAAATGCGATTGTCTTTTGTACATTTATTTTGTATCCTGAGACTTTGCCAAAGGCCTTTATCAATGTAAGGAGACCTTTGACAGATTCTCTTGGGTTTTCGAGGTACACCATCATATCATCTGCATAGAGAGATAACTTGACTGCCTCTTTTCCTATTTGAATACCTCTGATTGCCTCCTCTTCTCTGATTGCTCTAGCCAGGACTTCCAATACTATGTTGAACAGGAGGGGAGAGAGTGGGCATCCTTGTCTAGTTCCAGTTTTCAGGGGAATTGGTTCCAATTTTTGTCCATTTAGGAGTATGCTGGCTGTGGGTTTCTCATAGATGGCTTTTATTATTTTGAGGTATGTTCCCCGTATGCCTAGATGTTCAAGGGTTTTTATCAAGAAGGGGTGCTGGATTTTATCAAAAGCTTTTTCTGCATCTAATGATATGATCATGTGGTTTTTGTTTTGACATCTGTTGATGTATTTAATTACATTTATGGTTTTATCGTAAACATATTAATGGAAATACCTAAAAAATGTTAAAGCTTAAAACTGCTGAGTAAGTTCTCGTTGAAGTTAATGAGCAATGAAAATAAACATGGATGTTTAGAAAATGTGGAAAGAAACACACATCTAGTTTTATAGTCAGTGAATGATGTCTATATGATTATAAATTTTCCATGGGTAGTCCTGAATCACTGGTTCAGGACAACCACTTCATTTGTTTATCTTCCATTGTATTTGTCCAGGTGGAGTAAAACCTTGTGCATTAAACTGCTTGGCTGAAGGTTATAACTTCTACACTGAACGTGCCCCTGCGGTGACTGATGGGACCCAGTGCAATGCGGATTCACTGGATATCTGTATCAATGGAGAATGCAAGGTGGATCAGATTTTACTCCTCTTTGTTGGGGTTGTTGAAAGTTTTTTCTTTTTCTCAGATAGTAAGTCCTAATTAATACTGTGTTACTTTTTAAATTATTATTAAAGAGAGCTACATTTTTTTAAAGTTCAGTTTCCAATAAGGATAACATATGTAGTTAAAGGTAGAATGACCCATTCATATTCAAGCACCATGCAAATATGATATACTCTGGTATTCTGTTTATGTTTCTAGTAATTGCTAGAGGTATGAAAATATTTTGGACTGTAATTTCCATCATTCTTCTGTTCTGTTTACAAACAAGATGATAGAAGAAGGGAGAGAATGAGGATTCAGCTGTTTTTTCATATATCTACCATATGATCTTGGGAGATTATTTGATATATTTCATAGCTTAATATTTCCTCAAAGTGTGAAATAGCTATACTCCTCCTACTTTATCTCCTTTTGAGACATTTACAGTGGTTTTCATTATAGAGTTAATCTTTGTCTTATTAAAGCTTTTACTTTAGGAATTTTTTCAGACTAGCTGCGAATTGTAGGAGCAAATCATGCTATTTTCCTAGACTTGTGTATGAATCTTATCATAATAAGAAAAGCCACAAAACCATTATTCCCATAACTTTTTTTTACTTGTTTGGTTTTGTTTTACTTTGAAGAGAAGTACAAAATAACTGCTGCAAACTTTTTTACTTTAAACTTGTATGTTGAGAAACATTAGCAGGGACTTACTGGAGACTGGAGATAAAGTGGAAAGAGAAAAGTATTTCTTATTTTGATTTCCTTTGGAAATAATAAATAAATAAACTTGTTTTTAAACAAATTGAGAATGAAGAGATGAAAAGCATTATCTATTTTATTTAGTTCATAATCTCCTGGAAAAACTTCTGTCCTTCTGGCTACTTCCCTCCAGTTTGTGTGTGTTTGGGGCGAGGGGTGTTTGTTATTTTTTTGAAGAAAACATTTTTGTGACAGTATTCAAGTTTTTTCAAATAACAAAGACCAGGTATAGTTTTTAATTCAGGGATTATATGAATTTTTAATTCAGGTATTACATGACTAGTATCAGTGGCTAAATGTGAAATGCGTATATGCATGCACCAAAATATGTGTGAAATATATATTAAATCCATACTTTTATGATTAAATGCAAATTTTTAATGTGAAATTTTAGCTGTTCTATATGTATATATCTCTTTTTTCCTTGTGGCAATTTTATTCAGCTAGTGGAAACAGGTATTATTTTCAAAGATTTACCCAGGTGTGAATTCCACAGTTAATCTTCAACACCAACAACTGGATATCCAAAAAGAGCCAAAGGTTTAGAAAAGGCAAAGTCTAATGCTCAGTCAGGACTCTTTCTGTCATAATCCTGTATGGGACCATATGCCTTTTTTCTGTGTTCTTGAATGTCTTGGTTGAGGATATAAGTAAGAACCTATTGCTAAACAATTACACAAAAAATTTAAAAACTGGACTATGGTATTGATAAATGAAGAAGAAGTCTAAAGTAGAAATATAGACATACATTTCTGGGGAATCTAAATTCTTTTCTTGAAACTTATATGTTGAGAAACACTAGCTGAGACTTACTGGATAGTGAAATAAAGTGGAAAGAGAAAAGTATTTCTTGTTTTGATTTCCTATATTGGAAAAACAAGTAAATAAATAACTTACATGTATTTGATTAGTTATGGTTCTAAGAATTTCTTACATTTGTGCACACTAAATATTCTCTGCTTTCAGCATGTAGGTTGCGATAATATTTTGGGATCTGATGCTAGGGAAGATAGATGTCGAGTCTGTGGAGGGGATGGAAGCACATGTGATGCCATTGAAGGGTTCTTCAATGATTCATTGCCCAGAGGAGGTGAGTGTGTAGAGAACTCTTCCTCATACTGCTGGTATACTTGGGATGTCCAGAATACTTGATTTCCCCTCCTCCCTTGGTTTTATTTTTTGGGGTTTTTTTGAGTTGGAGTCTCACTTTGTCGCCCAGGCTGGAGTGCGGTGGCATGCTCACAGCCACCCCAGCATTGACCTGCTGGGCTCCGGTGATCCTTCCACCTCAGCCTTCCAAGTAGCCAGTACTACAGGTGCGTGCTACCATGCCAGGCTAATTTTTTATTTATTGTAGAGACAAGGTCTCGCCAAGTTGCCCAGGCTGGTCTCCAACCTGCGGGCCCAGGCATTCCACTCATCTCGGCCTCCCCAAGTGTTGAGATTACAAGCTAATCCACCGAGCCCAGCCTCCCCTTGTTTATAAATTTTTTTTTTTTAGACGGACAATGTTTTTTTCCAAATTGATTTCAGTCCTTTAAGTATAAAATGTAGCCTTACATAAGACATTTTAAAGAACTATTCCTTCCCCTTGACTTAACTTCATTTAGCCATGTTTCCTTAAAGTGTGAATTCCCACAGAGCACTGATATGAGGGGCATGTGCTGTGGAATAAAAATGAATGAATATTATACATGTTAATGCTTTAGAAATATCTTGGCAATTTTAGGCAAAAAGACTATTAAATACTTTTTCTCTAAAATGTATTCACAAAGCCAAAGGGTAATTTGCTCATATTTCATAATTTATAAAATGCAAAGTCAAAGAAAGAATGGAATAATAAGGAATGGCTATTACTAAATGGTTACTAAATATTATTTTCTGACCAAGGCTGCTTAATACTGGCTATTGTCTATGTTCCAGGCTACATGGAAGTGGTACAGATACCAAGAGGCTCTGTTCACATTGAAGTCAGAGAAGTTGCCATGTCAAAGAACTATATTGGTAAGTTGTTCTACTAGATTTAAAAAAATTAATGAAGAAAAGCAGCACAGTATCATGAAAGAAAAAAGCATGCTGCTTTGAGGTATATCACTTTATGGCTAAAATGAAGGAAGTTACACGTTTTATAGAACTGCATTAAAATGCCAAACAGAAAAATGAGTTTATAGCTTACTCTTAACTGGATTGATTATTTGACTTTTTAAAAATCAATTTAATTGAGGTATGATTTACATATTAAAATGCATCCTTTATAAGTGGGCAGTTCAGAGAGTATTGATAATTATATAGGTCCATATAAATACCACAACCAAGATATAGAACATTTCTATGACTCTAAATCTATCCCTTGTTCCCTTTTGCAGTCAAATTTCCTCAGCCCCAACCTTAGTCTCAGGCAAACATTGACCTATTTTTTAACATTATATATATTACTTTTACTTATTCTGGAACTTCACATAAATGAGCTTATATAGTATATGTGCTTACAGCTGTCTTTTTACTCAGCATGTTTTTGAGATTAATCTGCATTGTTGAGTGTATCCAAAGTTCATTCCTTTTTATTGCCAAATAGTATTTTATTGTGCAGTTATACCTTAATTTGTTTATTTATTTTTACTTGTTGATAGATATTTAGGTCATTTCTAGTCTTTAACTATATGAATAAAGCTTCTTTGAACATTTATAAACAAGTTTTATGTGGACATATATTTTCTTTCACTTGGATAAATGCCTAGAAATGAAAAGGATACATCATATGATAAGTACATATTTAACTTTATAAAAAATTATAGTAGTATAACCATTATGGAAAACAGTATGAATGTTCCTCTAAAAATTGAAAATAGACCTTTCATCATGTAATCTAGCAATCCCACTTCTGTGTGCATATCCAAAGGAAATAAAATCACTATCTCAAAGAGATATCTCTATTCCCATATTCATTACAGCATTATTCACAATAGCAAAGATATGGAGACAACCTGAGTATCTGTCAGCAGATGAATGAATAAAGAAATTGTGATATCTATATCACAATACACACACACACACACACACACACACAATGGAATATTATTCAGCCTAAAAAACAAACCCTGACATTTGCAACAGCATGGATGAACCTGGAAGACATTATGTTAAGTAAAATAAGCCAGGCACAGAAAGATAAATACTGCATAATCCTGTTTATATGTGGAATCTAAAAAAGACAAACTCAACGAAACAGAGTAGAAGGGCATTTACCAGAAATCAAGGCAGAGTAGGGGAGGTGGAATGGGGAGATACTGGTCAAAGGGTACAAGCTTTCAGTTTGAGGAATAAGTTCTAGAGATATGATATATTATAGTTACTAATAATGTATCATGTGCTTAAAATTTATTAAAAGAACAGATCTTATTCTCACCATACACAAAAAAGGCAACTATATGAGGTGATGGATATGTTAAATAACTTGATTGTGGTAGTAATTTCAAAATGTTTATGTATATCAAATCATCTCATTGTATATCTTAAATGTATACTATTTTATTTGTCAATTATACCTCAATAAAGCTGGAAAAAAGAAACTACTAAAATGTTTTCCAAAGTTGATGTATTATTTTATATTTCCATTAGTAAAGCAGTAGAGTTCCAGTTACTGTACATCTTTGGCAGTACTTGATATTGTTAGTCTTTTAAATTTTACCCATATGGATATCTTTTTTTGTGAAATATCTACATATTTTGCTGATTTTTTAAATAGCTTTTTTACTCGAGTTATGAGTTCCTCGTATATTCAGGATACAAGTCTTTGTCAAATACATTTTATGGGCCAGGTGCAGTGGTTGACACCTATAATCCCAGCACCTTGGGAGGCTGAGTTGGGAGAATCACTTGAGCCCGGGAGTCTGAGGCCAGCCTGGGCAACATACTGAGACCTTGTCTGTACAAAAAATTACAAAAATACGGTTATTCATGAGACTGAAGCAGAAGGATCATTTGAACCCAGGAGGTTAAGGCTGTGGTAAGCTGGGATCCATGGCAGCACTGAGCTGGGACTGCCACTGCACACCAGCCTGGGTGACAGAGTAAGACCCTGTCTCAAAAAATGTGTATTTTTATGGACATTTTCTCCTAATTTATGATTGCTTATTAATTTTTTAAATGGTGTCCTTTAATGTTGATGAAATTCAATTTATTTTCGTGCTTTCTTTTTTCTTTTTCTTTTTCTTTTTTTTTTTTTTTTGAGTCTCACTCTGTCACCCAGGCTGGAGTGCATGGCATGCTCACGACCATCACAGCCTCAACCTGCTGGGCTCAGGTGATCCTTCCCCTTTAGCCTTCCAAGTAACTGGAACTACAGGCATACACCACCACGCCCACCTAATTTTTTAATTGGTTTATTGTAGAGATGAGGTCTTGCCTTGTTGCCCAGGCTAGTCTCGAACCCGTGGGCTCAGGCAGTCCTCTCACCTCAGCCTTCCAAAGTGCTGGGATTACAGACGTGAACCACCACGCCTGTCTGGCTTGTGCTTTTATATCCTATCTTAGAAATTTTACCTGCAACAAGGGTTTCAAAGATTGTCTTCAGTGTTTCTTTAAGAAATTACAGTTTTTGCTTTTATGTTTAAATATATTTGGTTCATTTTGAGTTAATTTTTATATAAGGTATAAAGTAAGAGTTGAGGTTACTTTTTTATATGAATATTCAATTGCTGCAGCACTATTTGTTGAAAAGACTATCATTTTCCCCATTGAATTACCTTGACGTCTTTGTTAGAGATCAGTTGAGCAAGTATGTATGGTCTATTTCTGTTCCCACTCACTAACCTATATTTCTATTCTTAAATTAAAACTGCAGTGTACTGAGTAATGGAACTTTCCACTGGGCTTCAAAATCCAGAAGCATTAGATTCTCAAATTTGTTCTTTACAAACTTATTTTTGTCTTTTTAAGTTCTTTACATTTCTACATACATTTTAGAATCAACTTGTCAATTTCTATTACAAGAGATTATATAAAATCCCAACAATGCATGAAAAGATTTACCTGTACATTTATTTAGGTCTTTTTTAGATTTTTTTTTTAACCAGTGTTTCATTTTCAGTGTATATGTCTTGCACATATTTTGTTAAATCTATTAATTTCATGATTGTTGATTGCAAATGGTATTGATACTTTAATTTCATTTTCCAATTTTTGTTTGTATATAATGCAGTTGGTTTCTTTTTATACTGTTCTCATGTCCTGAGACCTGGTTATACTCATTTATTACTTCTTGTCGTTGTTTTGTAAAGTTTTTGGATTTTCTCCGTAGATTATCATGTCATCATTGAATGAAAGCAGTTTTACTTCTCTTTCCAATCTTTATGCCTTTTCTTTCTTTCTTTCTTTCTTTTTTTGCCTTATACTAGTGTTCAGAACCTTTAGTACAATGTTGAATAGAAGTGAGGAGACTGAACATCCTTTGTTGCTGATCTTAAGGGGAAAGCATTTTTTTTTTAATTATTGAGTAAATTAGCTAGAAGATTTGTGTAGATGGCTCTCTGTCAGTTTGAGGGTTTCCTTTCTATGCTAGATGTCTGAGTTTTATTCATAAATGGGTGTTGAAGTTTTCTGAATCTATTGACATGATCAGGTAGGATTTTATCTTCCTTTTCCCTGTTAATATAGTAAATGTTATTGATTGGTTTCCAATGTTAAAATCCATCTAGTATTCTTGGAATAAAAACTACTTTGTCATGATGTACTATCCTTCTTATATATTGTCAGAATTGATTTGCTAATATTTTATTAATAATATTTTTATCTATGTTCATGGGGGATACTGTTCTAGAGTCTTTTCTTGTGATGTTTTGTTGGTTTTGGTCTCAGGATAAGCCTGGCTTTGTAAAATGATTTAAGAAGCATTCCTTTCTCCTCTACTTTCTGAAAGTGTCTGAGTAAAATTGCTATTATTTCTTTTTTTTTTTTTTTTGAGTTGGAGTCTCACTCTGTTACCCAGGCTGGAGTGCAGTGGCACGCTACCGGCTACCGCAGCCTCTACCTGCTGGACTCCAGCGATCCTTCCACCTCAGCCTTCCAAGTGGCTAGAACTACAGGCGCGGGCTACCACGCCCGGCTAGTTTTTTATTTATTGTGGAGATGAGGTCTCGCCAAGTTTCCCAGGCGGGTCTCAAACCCACGGGCTCAGGTAATCCACTCACCTCAGCTTCCCAAAGACGCGGGATTACAGGCTGAGCCACCGAGCCCGGCTGTTATTATTTCTTAGTGTTTGATAGAATTCAACTGTGAAACCATCTGGAATGGAAGTTTTTATTGAAAAAATTCAACTTCTGTAATAGCTATAAAGTTTTCAAATTTTTTAGCATGAAGTTACACATATTCCCTCATTATCATTTTAACAGTTGTAGGATCTGTAGCAGTGGCTCTTCTTTTCATTCCCCTTATTGATAATTTATGTCTTTATTTTTCTTGATCATTCTAATGAGGGGTTTATGAAATTTATTGATCTTTTCAAAGAACAATCTATGGTTTAAATGATTTTCTCTGTTGTTTATCCAATTTCCATTACATTGATTTCTTTCTTTTTTTTTTTTTTTTTTTTTTGAGTTGGAGTCTCACTCTGTCACCCAGACTGGAGTGCAGTGGCCGCTCCCAGCCACCGCAGCCTCTACCCGCTGGGCTCCGGGGATCCTTCCGCCTCAGCCTTCCGAGTAGCCGGAATTACAGGCACACTCTACCACACCCGGCTAATTTTTTGATTTATTGTAGAGACGAGGTCTCGCCTGCCCAGGTGGGTCTCGAACCCGCGGGCTCAGGCAATCCACTCACCTCAGCCTCCCAAAGGTACGGGATTACAGGCTGAGCCATCGAGCCCGGCTCATTACATTGATTTCTAACTTTCTGTTTATTATTTCTTCTTTTCTATTCACTTTGTATTTATTTTTCTTATTTTTCTGGCTTTTCAAGATAGAAACTAGGATGTTTTCTACTATAAAATAAGCATCTTTCACTATAAT